GGATTTTCATAAACAACACACAAAACAAAAGGGAGTAAGTTATTAGTTCAAAACTAACATCACACGATAATCCACATTTCAAATACAATTAAGCATTGATATAAATCATAACCACAAATAAATAAATGTAAACGTTCATATATTCTTTCTTTCATTTCCACGTTATTCATATTCGTCCTATAGTATATATATCCCATAATATATATTCTATAGCACGCCTACTACGTTCCTTCGAAACCTCATACTTCTCATCATTCATATCCACCCTATAGAATATATATCTCATACAATATACTCTATAGAATGCATACGACTTTCATTGTGACATTCTCAGTTCTCATCCTTCATATTCACCTTATAGAATATATATCCCATACTATATATCCTATAACATGCATATGACTTTCATTGTTCACATCTTCCACTTTATCATCCATATTCACCCTATAGAATATATATCTCATACTATATATCCTATAGCATGCATATTCGTTTATCTCAAATCTTTTTGTCCCATTGCTTATTCTCGCCATCAGGCTTACTCTTTACCACATCCGGTTCTACCACATCGGGTAGGTAATTTCTCAATGATCCACTACCACTTCGGGTATCATGATACCCATTCCCACCCATGAGCTATTTTTGCAGGTACCCGTTGCGGGTATTTTGACGGGTACCCACGGGTGCGGGTATTTTTGCCATCCCTAAGCATAGAAAGGAAGGGAAAGAGATAGAAGAGTTTCTCTATTGACAAGAACAACACACAACACATAGAGACATGGAAAGAGGTAATCCATAATCATTCTTATCATGTGAAAGCTATAAATTCTAAAGATTCATTTTCATGTTTTCATGATTAAACTTATAGAATCTTCATAAATAGTTATTATATTCATACCTGACTTTTTAATTAAAGAACTAAAAATGGATATAATAATAAAATATATGTAGGCATATAATAAATTACAAATTATTGAAATCAAAAAATAATTAGAAAAATGTAAAAAAATCTTTTAAATTTTGTCTTTTGCAAACTATTTTTCCTAATTACCCCTTAAAATTTATCAATTGGTGAAATTAGTTCATGTGTAAATATATTGTTAAATTGTTAGTAGGCCAACAAGGAATTTGCGCAATCACACTCACAATAATAGCGATGCAACAATAAATGTTAATCGCTATTGATATCTGAAAGAAATTATCATTAAAATATAAAATTAACTGAAAAGATTATAAGTAAATTTAAGAGTTAAAATTGGTTAATGCAGAATATTTGTATATATATAAAATAAAATTAGGTAATAGTTATCTAATACCCGATTTTAAAATAAAATGCATGACAAAAAATGTTAACGCTATTAATTTAACATTACCTTTATGTAAAGACCAATTTCACCAACAATTAAAGTTTAAGAGATAATTATGAAGAAAAAAATAGTTGATGATAGCTTCTTGTAAAAGACATAGTTTAGGATTTCTTTTATGGACTTTTCTTAAAACTAATCAACAATAAGAATATTATTTACTTTCTCATTATTTTAAGGGTATTTTTGTGTTGGATTCGTATGAGATCAATAAGTCTCCAACCACCGAGAAATTCCTTTTTTATCGGGAAATAGGAGAAATGAAGAGGTACAAATGTAACAACACATCTTGAACAAAACCTTAAGACAACATTGCATAAGTCTTTTCAACTTATAAAGTTTTTTTACTCATCATCATATCTAATATGAAACTTTACACTTGAATAAACCTAATAATTTCCCTCACTATGAGTACCATTAACTGAGAGTTCTTTTGTCACAAAGACATGAATAGAGTGAAAAGATAAGCTACAAGTGAGAGATTAAGTCTTAAACCAAAATCTTTAGGCAATACTTCCATGTGATTTTCCAATTATAAACTCTTTTATTCATCTTTGATATATCCAATGTGGCTTCACACTATATAAACCCAATATTTAGTCCAACCAAACCAAAAAATGCACTATTTCTCTTCATTCAATTTTCATTTTTCTATCATGCAAAATAATATAAAAATTCACTCATTTTCTTATCTTTATCTATCCTATTACTCTCCTTCTCACTTAATTATCTATTTTCTCACTTAATTCTCTATTCTCACTTTATCTTATTCAACAAAACAAAGAATTAAAGAAGATAGAAGGCTAAGTTAGAATGCCAAAAGAATTTAATAGTTAAAAACATATATGTTACTTGTAAATTAAATGAATGAAGTAGAGAGTAAATGACTAAAGTTTCCCCAATATTAAATATATACATATAGAAATATATCATACAATTTACATTACAATGATATTAAAAAAGTCATTATATAATGACAAAGTTGCCCTTAAAAAATCAAAGTGTCAAGGATAGGGTATTCCTTTTAGTAATTACTACTTCCTCTATGTTATTATGCAAGTCTATGAATTTTCGACTGGAAAAAATCAACGTGGTTGTGACACATGTGAAAATGAATATTCATGAAACTTTTTTCTTATATATAGTATATATATTAAATGTTATTATTATTATATCTTATTAAATAATATATTGGGTAATGAACCATGGATACGAATATATTTTTATCTTGTTGGAGATTGTACAAAGTGAGGTGTCTTTATCCTGTGTGGGAGGTTGTTCTTAACCATACTTTTTACCGTATGGTTAAGAACACTCATATTACCCGTACATTCATATGAGACATATTGATTTTGACATATATTTGAAACCACGTAATTATCAATCTTATTAAATATATATATTAGTAACATTGTGTAATAATTTGATAAAATAAAATAAAATATAGATAATCATTGATAAGTTGTGTGCAATATTAAAAGTCGTTATGAAAAGTAATTGATTCAATAGACTGAATTTCTTAACATTTCCAATCAATCATTTAAAACCAAAATAGATTGGAAAATGAGTTAGTGAGATTAGATTGATTAGAACTTTGAAATTGTGCTGCAGAGAAGATGAAATCAATGATGAGGAGATAGCAGAAGTGAAACCAAAAGAAATGAGGATTTGAAAACAAGAGAACGATCATGTGCTAATGCCAAATGTGTAAGGACCCCGATTTTCATAACTCGAAAATTCTCTTTTAAAAATCCTTATTCGTGAAAGTGCAGTGATTACTTTTGAAAGACATTACTCGGACAGTTTGGAAACTTGATTGATTATAAATTTACAAGGCGGAAATATTCCAAACCCCTTTCATTTCAAAAGCATGTCATTACACTTCCGTTCAAATACATCTTTTATACAATTAAACTTTCTCAAAATTACCTTGGATACAAACATTAGATTCACTTCATTATACACTTACAAGAAAGTTGTTTATACATGGATTCACTTTAACATGTTCTTCATATTACAAATATTTATCATATAACATGTCAATTCCATATTATCCACTACTCTATCATGTACTCTTCTCCGCAAGCGTCCAATGCGCTAACTCCACAACCTGAACCCAAATATACAACACATACAAGGAAAGACAGAGGGAGTAAGAACCAACTACGGCGACCGTAGCGTGGATTTACATGGAGTAATGACATTAAAGTATTAAAACCACACACATCTAACATCAATCATGATATGTATATATCAATCAACACATATTATCCATATTCACCCTATAGTACACATATATCCCATACTATATGTGTTCTATAGTGTGCATACTTATTCATCGCATTTTATCCATATTCACCCTATAGTACACATACATCCCATACTATATGTGTTCTATACTATGCATACTTATTCATCGCATTTTATCCATATTCACCCTATAGTACACATACATCCCATACTATATGTGTTCTATAGTGTGCATATTTATTTATCGCGTATTATCCATATTCATCCTGTAGGATATACATCCCATAATATATATCCTATGACATGCATATGAATTTTCATTCCGAGTATACACTTTTCACATCCTTCACATTCCATAATAATTTACCCTTGATCTCATTCAACAATTCTGCACCGTACAAATAATCACCATACCCCATCGGGCAGGTCGAGTAATCCCCATACCACCTCGGGCAGGTCGAGTTTCCACATTACACTCACATCCATGTCATACACCGTCAACACAAGGCATCTCATTATTTTATCACCATAAATAACATACAACACCTTCATTGTCACAAACATACCTTTATCCATTTTAACACATTCACAGCTCATCACATTCATTGTTACAACACACTTATATATGTTTATAACAATCAACCACCCACAACATACTCATTTTGCTAAACATACTCATATCCATTTTGACACATTCACAACTCATCACACATTCATTGGTACAATCCACCCATACATGTTTATAACAATCAACCACTTACAACATACTCATTTATGCTTATGACCATAAATATCTCACACACCATCATTATCACACAACATAACCATTATCATAAACAAACCATGCATAACATATTCTTCATCATATACACATTAACGTTAGAACCATCTTTAATGACGGTGTATTACCATAAATGAGCATATAGCGTTTTACTCAACTAAACGGTTTTCCCCACACATATATCTCCACTTTTATGGCTAATACATCCTCATGTAAAATATAGACTCTCACATGGACCACAAACTCCCAAGGGAGTTTCTATCCGTTAATATGCTCCGATTCTTGAGGGAAATCAGAGATGTTGACTCTAATGAAATACTCTAAGACCACAATGGTCTTCTCCCTCACCTTAGGTTACGTAAGCTCCGTTGCTCCGCAAAAAAGCCACATCTCCCTTCATCTCCTCCAACCTCCATTGTTGCTTTTTCACCTCCAAGCTTTTCCAAATGTGTCACCATGAAGCAAGAGGAAGGTTTTGATGAGTTTTGAGGCTTAGTGGAGGGAAAAATGGTCCATTTGGGTGGAACTGTAAGGACCCAAATTCTACCCTTGAAAATTTTTCATTTATTTTATTCATTTCTTACATACAGTCATCACCTTCATTGAAAACTCTCAAGTATCATTTTCGAAAATACTCTTTACCCTATTTTCTTATCATACAAATTTATGTTGCGGAAAAACATAATTCATTCAAATAGCATTTACCACATACAACCAGTTATGGGTCTCCCAAGGTTATAAAGCTCATAACTACACATATCCGTATTGATCTAAACGGATTTACAGTCATCCCATAATACTATTAAATCAACTACAACGTCACTTAGCAATACAGACAAGCGAGTAATTAAACACAAAAGCTTCCTAATTGAGCTTCATCCTCAAAATCCTTCATTTACCTACAATGGGATTATCATAAACGACACACAAAACAAAAAGGGAGTAAGTCATTAGTTTAAAAACTAATATCACATGATAATCCACATTTCAAATACGATTAAACTTTCATATAGATTATAAACGCAATTACGTAAATGCAAACATTCATCTCTTTTTTCGTTCATTTCTACATTATCCATATTCATCCTATAGAATACATATCCCATAATATATATTCTATAGCATGCATATTATGTTCATTCGAAGCATCATTCTTCTCATTATTCATATCCACACTATAGTATATATATATCCCATACTATATATCTTATAGCATGTATATTACTTTTATCCTTAACGTCTTCATTTCCAACATTCATATTCACCCTATAGTATATATATCCCATAATATATATCCTATAACATGCATATGACTTTCGCTCTTAACGTCCTCGTTTCTCATATGTCGTATTCATCCTTAATCGTATTGACCGAGTCCTTTCACAACTATAATCTCCTACCACCTCGGGTAGATCCAATTACCTCTCCATACCACATCGGGTAGGTCTAGTTCACCATCCATACCACATCGGGCAGGTCTAGTTCATCATCCATACCACATCGGGCAGGTCTACTGTTATATTCCATACCACATCGGGTAGGTCTAGTTATACTCCATACCACATCGGGCAGGTCTAGTTATACTCCATACCACATCGGGCAGGTCTAGTATTATATTCCATACCACATCGGGTAGGTCTAGTGTTATGCTCCATACCACATCGGGTAGGTCTAGTGTTATACTCCATACCACATCGGGTAGGTCTAGTTATACTCCATACCACATCGGGTAGGTCTAGTTATACTCCATACCACATCGGGCAGGTCTAGTTATACTCCATACCACATCGGGCAGGTCTAGTTATACTCCATACCACATCGGGTAGGTCTAGTATTATATTCCATACCACATCGGGTAGGTCTAGTGTTATGCTCCATACCACATCGGGTAGGTCTAGTGTTATACTTCATACCACATCGGGTAGGTCTAGTTATAATCCATACCACATCGGGTAGGTCTAGTTCACAATTCTTCACTACCATTCCCGGTAGGATAACAATAACAGTCCACTACCACTCCGGGTAGGACACAACAACAGTCCGCTACCACTCCGGGTAGGACACAACAACAGTCCGCTACCATTTAAGGTAGGACACAATAACAGTCTACTACCACTCCGGGTAGGACACAACAAACAGTTCACTACCACTCCGGGTAGGACACAACAAACAGTTCACCACCACTCCGGGTAGGACACAATAACAGTCAACCACTACCTCTTCGAGTAGGGTAACCACAATAAACCACTACCTATTCGGGTAGGGTAACAACAATCAAACTTACAACACATTACCTCTTTCACATACCTCATTCACATCAGTGAGTATGAATTAGAGCCACTTATCCCTTACCTCAGTGAGTTTTGGGATCGGTTCCGAGTAACTTTAAAAGTCTCCTCCGCGATTTCCTCAAACCTTAGGATCTTTCCTCATTTCCACCAATAACAACAATGTTAGTCATTTATTCCAAATATCACATAAACAACTTATTTTGCATCATTTAATCATACAAAATATTCATCATCAATATTCAACCATCTAAAACATGCATAACATCTCATATTTCAATATTTCCAAAACTACTTCAATACAAGTTTCTAAATATCAAAACATACATGTTCATCTCATATAACAACATTAAAGCACTACTCATTATCCACATCTAACATTTCATCTCTTTCTCTTTATACTCATATTCTCATTTTGGGGGTTTTTGGGTGTTTTTCATGAATAACCCATAAAACTTTCCATTCATCAAATACCAACTCTAAACCAAGAGTTTACAAGATAAAAACAACATAAAACGAACCATAACTCTAAAGGATGAGTTTCCATGGTTTCTCATGTTTTTGAAAATGAATCCAACATACCCAAAACAAGTTAGAGAGGAAGAAGAAGAGTTAGTAACAAGAGGTTTACCTCTTCTCAAGCTCCAAGATGAGTCCAAAGGCTCCTTGCTCTTGAAAAGCTCTCCTCTCTCTCTTCTCTTCGAAGTTCTAACCCTAAAATGTGTTTGGGTTTCTGTTTTAAAGAGGTGTCGTCGGGTTGTAATCGATTACCAACATGGTGTAATCGATTACAACGTGAAAAATGCGCATATCTGATGCTTTTAATACGATGTAATCGATTACCAGAAGAGTGTAATCGATTACCAGCAGTGTGTAATCGATTACCAGCAGAGTGTAATCGATTACACTGTGTCAACAGCCCAAAATTGCCATTTCTCGCCCAGGCGAGAATCCTCCGGTATAGTCCCCCTCCCAGCTGATCCTTTTTCGCTCAGGCGAGAATCTTTCGATCAAGCGAGGCTTCCAGGACTGATACTATATTTTTAAAGATTAAAATTTGGGGTGTTACAATCCTCCCCCTCTTATAAGAATTTTCGTCCCCGAAAATTAAACATACCTCGGAAAATAAAATCATCACCTAGACCTTAGGCACAAGAATATTCAACCAAAATCACAATTCGATTCTCTAATCCATTAAGATTACTTAATCAGTCACTAAGGGCATACACCACTAAATCACGATATCACCAAACCAATTCATGAACTAACTCCTCAATGTCCAAATGTTAAGATCTCAGCCTTTAATAACTCGAGTGCCATGGGAACTAATCCATAATTTAGACTAAAGATTTTTTCTTATATCCATCAAGAACCATAGATCTCTAACACCTATCCATCTATCAATCCTAACATACGTTAAGAATCCCGATAACACTCTCGAACTTCAGCGAATGGGGAACTCCTGATCCCATATCTATCTAAATGCATCTTTTAACATCCATCATACACTAGCTAGTCTCATCTCCTGAGACTCTAGCACAATTTCATTTTACTAGATCCACAAAATACTTACACAATAGAATTATTAGTGTCTCATCCATTGTACACAATCAAACTATTCAGTAATTGTCTAATTACATAAAATATTTCTACCATCAAATCTTATCCTCTAAAGAAATTACCGATTTCTAGCCTCCACTGAAACCATAAAACCATTGATTCACACCAAAACTAGGTATTCTGTTACCAATCGGCAAGCACAAGTCGACCAACACTCAAACCTACAACTTGCGTTTGGTTTGGTCACCCCAATTCCGTTAGTAAATATAAACTTATTAACCCACTCGCATTATGTCCAGAAATACATGGGCGTCTCATATCACTAAACTTTTAACAACCTCATACTTATTCCGATATGGTTGCTAAAATTTCGGAATTCTCTAACATGATACTAAATCATTACTTAGGCACAAGCTAAGTTTTCCCAAAAATGATTTTCGAAAGCGGTTTGAATCCACGACTCATGGCAACCACGTCGTGAAACAAGGTTCGCACGCTCATTTCGATACAACCCAAAACTTCTTCTCTCCTATGGTTACACCACACCCATACACCGCAATTACTGACGTTCACGAAACAACAACAACTTTTGCCGGTACACATTCAACGCAGACAATTTCGGATCACCACCACTATTTCATGCGTTGCCAATGTCCTACCGCAAAAGGACCGGTCATTCGAGACCAAAAGTTTCACGTCTAATAAAACGTATTCCTCACATCGACGGGGTAAGTAACTCGACTAGCCTCTTTCCTCGACTATCAGTATAAATCTTACCCCCTTAGCATACACATACATATCAATGCATACTAAATTTAAATATTCACCTCAACAATTACACACAGTTAAACATAACACGATTTGCTGACCGCTAGTCCATTTCCAGGATTAAATCCAACTGGATGTCATTGCGCATACCAACACTATAGTAAAGGTTTTACCATTTACTCCAACCGTACACTGAGACATCCACCACCGATACACGGGGTTGGTGGGTACAACTAAGTCGAAAACAACAACTTGGTGTACAATCTCAGTAGGTTCACGCATTCCGCAAATATAGGGAGTGTGTCGCTCCCGAATTAAACAACACTAAAAGTGATACCTGTCACCATGCGTTTACCTCTCGCCGGATCATCAACACCCGATGTCCCTGCGCCACTTGGGGTAACCATCCAACCGTGGTCCCTTGCCTCCCCAGCATGCATGACATTATGTCTCCGATCCAACTTGGGACAGAGGAGCCTGGACCTGGAGCCACGCTCCGATCCAAATTTCGTAAGTTTCCATTCATGCCCTGAAGCACCTCTAACATCTGTGCCAAGAGATCATCGGAAGTATTCTGGCTCGTTTCACTTCCTCTTTCAGCCATGCGTACCTACACTCACGTACTTGTCAGTAGACTAATTTTATAACCAGACAAGCATCACATAAACACACAACTGTCAATGCTAACCAAGCAGTTCAAGCACATAAAGATCACAAAGAAGCATGTAAGGCCATATCCTAGGCCGCAAGATTAACTATGCTCTGATACCATATTGTAAGGACCCAAATTCTACCATTGAAAATTTTTCATTTATTTTAATCATTTCTTACATACAGTCGTCACCTTCATTGAAAACTCTCAAGTATCATTTTCGAAAATACTCTTTACCATATTTTCTTATCATACAAATTTATGTTGCGGAAAAACATAATTCATTCAAATAGCATTTACCACATACAACCAGTTATGGGTCTCCCAAGGTTATAAAGCTCATAACTACACATATCCGTATTGATCTAAACGGATTTACAGTCATCCCATAATACTATTAAATCAACTACAACGTCACTTAGCAATACAGACAAGCGAGTAATTAAACACAAAAGCTTCCTAATTGAGCTTCATCCTCAAAATCCTTCATTTACCTACAATGGGATTATCATAAACGACACACAAAACAAAAAGGGAGTAAGTCATTAGTTTAAAAACTAATATCACATGATAATCCACATTTCAAATACGATTAAACTTTCATATAGATTATAAACGCAATTACGTAAATGCAAACATTCATCTCTTCTTTCGTTCATTTCTACATTATCCATATTCATCCTATAGAATACATATCCCATAATATATATTCTATAGCATGCATATTATGTTCATTCGAAGCATCATTCTTCTCATTATTCATATCCACACTATAGTATATATATATCCCATACTATATATCTTATAGCATGTATATTACTTTTATCCTTAACGTCTTCATTTCCAACATTCATATTCACCCTATAGTATATATATCCCATAATATATATCCTATAACATGCATATGACTTTCGCTCTTAACGTCCTCGTTTCTCATATGTCGTATTCATCCTTAATCGTATTGACCGAGTCCTTTCATAACTATAATCTCCTACCACCTCGGGTAGATCCAATTACCTCTCCATACCACATCGGGTAGGTCTAGTTCACCATCCATACCACATCGGGCAGGTCTAGTTCATCATCCATACCACATCGGGCAGGTCTACTGTTATATTCCATACCACATCGGGTAGGTCTAGTTATACTCCATACCACATCGGGCAGGTCTAGTTATACTCCATACCACATCGGGCAGGTCTAGTATTATATTCCATACCACATCGGGTAGGTCTAGTGTTATGCTCCATACCACATCGGGTAGGTCTAGTGTTATACTCCATACCACATCGGGCAGGTTTAGTTATACTCCATACCACATCGGGCAGGTCTAGTTATACTCCATACCACATCGGGTAGGTCTAGTATTATATTCCATACCACATCGGGTAGGTCTAGTGTTATGCTCCATACCACATCGGGTAGGTCTAGTGTTATACTTCATACCACATCGGGTAGGTCTAGTTATAATCCATACCACATCGGGTAGGTCTAGTTCACAATTCTTCACTACCATTCCCGGTAGGATAACAATAACAGTCCACTACCACTCCGGGTAGGACACAACAACAGTCCGCTACCACTCCGGGTAGGACACAACAACAGTCCGCTACCATTTAAGGTAGGACACAATAACAGTCTACTACCACTCCGGGTAGGACACAACAAACAGTTCACTACCACTCCGGGTAGGACACAACAACAGTCCGCTACCATTTAAGGTAGGACACAATAACAGTCTACTACCACTCCGGGTAGGACACAACAAACAGTTCACTACCACTCCGGGTAGGACACAACAAACAGTTCACCACCACTCCGGGTAGGACACAATAACAGTCAACCACTACCTCTTCGAGTAGGGTAACCACAATAAACCACTACCTATTCGGGTAGGGTAACAACAATCAAACTTACAACACATTACCTCTTTCACATACCTCATTCACATCAGTGAGTATGAATTAGAGCCACTTATCCCTTACCTCAGTGAGTTTTGGGATCGGTTCCGAGTAACTTTAAAAGTCTCCTCCGCGATTTCCTCAAACCTTAGGATCTTTCCTCATTTCCACCAATAACAACA